TTTTTTTTTCTTTGCAGCCCGTGAACTACTCCAACCCTGTGTATGCAAAGATTTATATCGACGGCCAAAACTGTCGAAAGCCCGTCATCAGTATTGACGAGAGGAGAGAGCTACTCCCAAAGAAACTAGAGGGGACAATTCGTGAAACCGCCGCATAGCCTAACTTTTTACTTCTTTTTTTTACCACAGTGTACAATGTATTATATGAAGGAGGAAACCAGATTTTTCTATTTCCTATAAGGCTCCTGGGTTTTACATGTTTAGCATCAGCATTATGTCTTTGTTGGTGTGTTCAAGAGTTTTATTTTACATATACACTTTGCTTTTTATGTTTTTTTTGTTAAAAGTATATACATGTTAAACAGCACTATACTGTAAAATGTACTGAAGTAAAGCTGTTGATTTGCAAAAACTTGATTAACACCATAAGCCACTCTTGGGCACAGTTCATATGTTAAAATGCAGTGCTACAGTTTGTACTCACAGCTGACACTAGTATACAAAAATAAGTTGTTTGTAAGGATTCTAAAAGGAAGGTTTGACTACATTTTTTTCTAAGCAAATGGCTGTAAAGTAATACAAGGTTACTTTCTTGTCATTTTATATGTACTGGATGGACAACAGAGCTTCACAACTGAGCTGCAAAGCTTGATATTTTTAAACTGACTTACTTTCTGCTCTGCAGCTGGTGGCTCAACTCATATTCCGATCCTTGTCTTTTTGCACATCGTGTGTAATTTCCACAGTTTGTTATGTCTTCTTAATTTCCAGCAATTTCAAGGTCTGTTCGCTCTGTTTCAACAGAAATATACCTTATGAAGCATGAAGCCCATGCTGAATGTTCACCCATTAGATTCCTACATTGTTCACTAAGAGGACAGATAACGAATACCATATTTTTCTAAGTCTCAAATGTCCCCAGGCAGATTAAAGCTATAGACAAGGARGAGATTTACCACAGTCTCAAAGGTTATTAGGGGGTTGTTATAAAACATGTTTCTGCA